GGGAGGGAGTGATATTAAAAGCAAGTAAAATCCTGATGAATTTTAGATGGAAGTGAGAGGAAAAAATGTTCTTAGAAACAAATTACTGTATGAATTACTTTGGATCTTTAAGAAATTTAGATGCCTATCCAAGAACTTGATTGTGGGGTTATTCCATAATGTTTACATATGAAATAGTCAAGTTATACACCTGAAATATATCCTATTAAAAAAACCAGAAGCTTCAAAGGAAGTCATTTTTTCTGGCAAAGAATAATCATCCCCAGGTTGTAACTTTCTTCAGTTCATTTTACAGTTTGACTTTCTGATATTCTTAATGTGTTTTAACAGAGTATAGGAATGGTGAATTTTTTTTTAATCTATGTAATTCACCATTATTAACAAAAGAGAAGAATCCATAGAATCACCTCAAAAGATGGAGGAAAAAACCATACAACATCAATTTATAAGAAAAATTTTTCGTAAACTATAAATAAGAGGTAACTTCTACAACTGATAAAGGGCATCTACAAAAACCTACTTCAGCTAACACAATGCTTCACAATGAAAAACTGAACTGTGTGACTGGGAACACGGCAGAGATATTCACTAATTTCTCTTCTACTCAACATTGTACTGGAGGGACCTAATCAGAATAGTGAGGAAGAAAAAAAAAAAGTCGAATACGGATTGGAAGGAAATAAATAAAGCTGTCTTTATTTGTGGATGACATCAATATGTATAAGAAAATCCTAAGAAATCTACAAAAAAATCTATTAGAACTAATAAGTAAATTTAGCAAATTTACAATATACAAATTCAATACACAAAGATTGATTTTTTAATGTGTAATAGCAATAGACAACTGGAAAATTAAATTAAAAAGTCACAGTAGTGTCAAAAACCATAAAATATTTGGAGATATTGAATGAAATACGTGCAAGACTTCTCTGAAAAGTATAAATTACTGCTGAGAGAAACTAAACAAGCCCTATATATACTTGGGGAAATATACCATGTTCATGAATTGGAAGACCCAATATTACGGTAATGATTCTCCCCAAATCAATCTCTAGATTCAATATAATACCAAACAAACTCCAAGTTGCATTTTTTGGTAGAAATTAGAGAAGACTCTAACATTAATATGGAAAAATAAAGTTCCTAGAATAGCCAAATATTCTTAAAAAATAACAACATTGAAAAACTAAGAGTAGCTAATTTGAGACTTACTAGAAAGCTTTCAGTCAGTAAGACCATGTGGAATAGGCATAAAGATAAACAAACAGACCAATGGGAGAGAAAAATACTCATACTTACATATTCAAATAACTTTCCACAAAAGTACCAATGCAATGCAATAGGAAAAGACAACCTTTTCAACACATGGTGTTGGAATAACCAGGTATCTGTATGGAATAAAATGAATCTCAACTCATACCTCATGTCAGTTGCAGAAGTTAACTTGAAATACATCACAGATGTAAAGGAAAAAAGCTAAAATTATAAAGCTTCTAAAAGACAATAAAGGATGATATCTTTACCATCTTGAGGTAGGCAAAGATATCCTTGAGATAGAACCCAGGAAGCACTAACTATAGAAAAAAAATGATAAGTTGGACTTCATCAAAATGAAAGACATCTGTTCATCAAATGATACCATATGAAAATCAACTGGCAGCCGGGCACAGTGGCTCACGCCTATAATCCCAGCACTTTGGGAGGCCGAGGCGGGTGGATCACAAGGTCAAGAGATTGAGATCATCCTGGTCAACATGGTGAAACCGTATCTACTAAAAATACAAAAAATTAGCTGGGCATGGTGGCACGTGCCTGTAATCCCGGCTACTCAGGAGGCTGAGGCAGGAGAATTGCCTGAACCCAGGAGGTGGAGGTTGCTGTGAGCCGAGATCGTGCCATTGCACTCCAGCCTGGGTAACAAGAGCGAAACTGTGTCTCAAAAAAAAAAAAAAAAAAGAAAAGAAAATCAACTGGCATGCCAGAGACTAGGAAAAAGTATCCACAACACATATATATGACAAAGAACCCAGACCTACTGGAATATATAAAGTAATATATAAATAACTCCTACAACTTAATTATAAAAAGACAAACAGCCCGACCAAAAAACTGGGCGGAAGACTTAGACAGATAATTTCCAAAGTAAAATATCTAAGTAGCCAATAAGTAAATACAAAGATGTTCAACATCATTAGTCATCAGGAAAATACAAATTAACACCACAATGAGAATCCACTATCCTCTCACTAGAATAGCTAGAATGAAACAGACCAATACCATCAAATGTTGGCAAGAACAAGGAGCAAGTGGAACTCTCAGACACAGCCGGTAGGAGTGTAAGATGCTATGGTCACGTGGAAAATAGTATATCACTTATTAAAAAGTTAAACATACTATTCCCTATGACCCAGTAATTCTATTCCTTGGTATTTATCCAAGAGAAATGAACACATATGCCCACAAAATCCTCATATAAGCATTTTCATAGCAGCTTTATTTATAATAGCCCAAAGCTGGAAACAACCCAAATTAACAGGTAAATGGCTAAACAAGTGCTGTTTTCATACAATAGAACACGCTCAGAAGTAAAAAAAATGAAAAACTGATACATGTGATAATGTTATGAATCCTTAAACACATTCTGCTAAGCAAAAGAAATGAGACATAAAAGAATACAGATTCTAAAACACTAATTCTAAGAATTTCTTCCACAGTCAGCCTATGTCCTTATGGACACTCACCAGACCCAGGGTCTCAAGTCCCAGCTCTGGACACCACCCGATGAAGCCCACAAGTCCAGCCCCTGCCTCCACAAAGAGTCCACTGGTACACAAATCTCTAGAACCAGACAGAGGCCACTTGCAAGAGCTACCTCTTGGTAAGCCTTGGATAAAACAATTCTCTGTTGAATCTAGGCTAAATCTCTCATTCTATATTTTAAACACAGATGATCCCTGAGTGGCCAGACTTCAGTGGGTAACAGAGAGATTCATTCAACAAGCTGATACAGAAAGAAAAAGCATTCATAACAGAAAGCACAAGAAAATGAGGAACAGAGAAAGAAAAGCAGACAGCCCTTCAGGAGAGATGCACCAGGCTGTCAGGGAAAAACTTAAGAGTGCAAGAGACATACCCCTTTCTGCTGTACCATCTGACATGGGATGTAGGATAGATATAGCTTCATAGTTGAGTATGGGCGGCCTGAATTCAAAGCCATATTACTAACTCCATGGCCTTATTCAACTTGTCCCAGGAAGCACTGAAGATAGTCTCCAAAGGCTGAACCAAAGGTTATAGTGTGGCCTTGTAACTAACACCTCACTGAAAGTGCATTCTGGGTAGCATCCGTTCTGGGCATCAGGCAGCAGGGCAGTCGCTGCTTCACTGGAGAACACAGACATGGCTGCCCTGTACCTGCTGTGAAAAGCTGAATCCCCAGAGGGCTACAGGCCATGGTGTTCAAGCCCCACCACAGTCCTGCTGCCTGGGCATCAGTACCACAAGTGGGTCAACTGAACGAGCTGGTGCCCACCCAGTGGAATCTCCGCATCCTCTCTCCCCACACAAGATCTGGCTGTATGGTGGGTACTGAATGACCCATACAGCCCAGGCTGGGAAGCGGAATAGGTTCTTCCAGTGAGGCCATAGCAGGTATCTCATGTCAGAGATGTCTATAACCCAGATCCTGGGCTGAAAATACGTTAAGAGCTTTCACAGATGGGCAACTGGAGCCCAGAGAAAGAGAGCAACAGGCACAAGGTCACACAGCAGTCAGGGGCAAGCTGGGATGAGAATCCCAGCCCAGTGCTTGACCTCAGGACTGGAGTTCTTATCCACAGGGAAACCTCTCAGCACCTGCCACTCTGCCCAGCATGGAAGAATTCCCGGGGAAGCTACTGACAGCACCCTCCAGGCTCTGACTTCTCCCTCCCTATCTGATAGCCTTGGTATTCCAACAGCAGGGCTTTAGGAGGGACTTAGGTCCTCCTAGACTATAAGTGGCTTTGGGCCCCCAGTGACCTCCCTCTCTGTTTGGACCTAAATCTTCCCATCCACAGAATGGAGAGTGGGATTCCCACAGCTCGGCTGCGAAGAACAAAAGCAGTAACGCTCCCCAAAAGGCTGCTTTTGTTCTTCGCAGCCGAGTAACATCCAGCCCTATTGCCCTGAGACTCTGCACAAGCCCTGCCCCTGTCGGACTTCGGTTTCCACACCTGCACACGAAGCAGAGGAGGGTTGATGGGCCTCCCGGCTCAGATACTTGGGGATCCAAGGATGGAGACCCCTCTAATATCCAGAAGAGGTGGAGGGAAATCAGCAAGGTAGGCTCACGGGCACCAGAAGGATGGAAGGCCAGGATGTCCCTGTGGGAAGGACCTTTAGAGATCTTTCCTTTCCTGATCAGAGAGGGAGATGGTGACCCAGAGACAGGATGGGGCCTGCTGCAGGTCACAAGCAGGCCTGGGACTCAGCAGGGAATGACAGTCAGGACTTGGCTCCCAGCTCAGGGTTCCTGCCACCTCCTTAGCTTCCCACCATCAGGGGCCAAGAGGGAGCTGTCCTGTCCAGTTAACCATGCCCCTACCCTGGGCTCCTTCCTGCATATGTTCAGACTGAAGGTGCATCATGGGGCACTGGCTTTGGGGATGGAGAGTCATAAACCTTGTGATGGGGAAGAACCTAGAGGAGGTGGGGACGGGGCCACAGCAGGACTTGGACAAGTGATGTTCACCCTCCTCGCCCCAATCACGTGGGCACAGGTCTCTGAGTCCACTAAGAGAAGGCTCTGACTCTGCTCTTGCTTAAGAGGGGAACTTCTCAGCTATTTTGGCCACTGTGAGCAGGTGGCCTGGGTCAGACTTAGACACCTAAAAACTGACCCAGAACTGTGTTCACCTTGCTTTCACTATTTCCTGGCCAAGCTCCAGAGGCCTGGCTAATGGCTGGCCCACTCTGTCCCCGGCCCCCCAATCCCCATCCCCACCGGGAGGAGTACTCACTGATGGGGGCATGTAAGGCCACATGCTCCTGGTAGGGAGTATAGTACTTGTACTGTTTCCCACAGAATTCACAGGTGTAATTGCCAGTTTCTGTCCAGGAAAAAGACAAAGGTATAAGAATGGGCAGCCGGCCCCCACCAAGAAGCATCAGCGTGCTCTCACCCCCCAGAATAGCTCCTCCCCATTCTGGGACCACCAACTAGAATCAATTCTGACTCTGGAGTTAGAAGGCCTCTAATCAAATCCCAGCTCAGACACTTCGAGCTGGGTAACCTCGGGCAAGTCTCTTAACCTCTCTGTGCCTCAGTTTTCCTGTCTGTAAAAGAGGGGTCATAATAGGACCACCTTGTAGGATTGCTGTGAGGATTAAATTTAGATAGCAAGTGCTTAGAACAGTACCTGGCACATCGCTCCACCCCAACCCTGGTGCTCAGGAAATGTGCTGACCTCCAACACCAACCTCTTCATCAGCCCCTTCACAAGCCCTGCCCTCTGCAGTGGCCACACCCAGGGTCCCCTCATCTCTAGGACCTTCCCTGCCCCCAAGCGCCCCCCACCCGCTAGCAGCAGGGGTCACTTCTTCCTCTCAAGTCCCACCCAACTTTATCTTTACCTCTCTTTTGGCACTGCCTAACTTCTTTCTTCTTAAAAATGTCTGATGTAATATTGTTCACTGGGGGAAAATTATAAAATACTGATAAATACAAACACAAAATCAAAACTAAAGAGAAATTTCAATCATCTGTAATCCCCACACAAACAGCAGCATCTGCCCCCCTGGGGGAGGGTGCCCTGGTTCCCACTCTTTACTCTGTCTCATCTGGGGTGTGCTTCTCTCACTGATACCACCTGTCTGGCTCCTGTGAGCCCTGAATTAGCCAGTCCTGATCAATACCCTCTTTGTAATCTGGTGTATTGAATTGACATTACTTTGCGGACATTTGCCCAATCGATATTGATCTCTACTGCATATATTGGCTGCATGGTTCTCACCGGACTTTGGAATTTGCTGAGCGAATCCCCTACACCAAAGGACACTGAATTGTTTCAAAATTCTTTTCCTATTAAAAAAATGCTGTGACTCATGTCCTTACAGAAATTTTTACATTCACCCATTAGTTTTGCACATTATCACAAATTAAAGGCTTTTCCACATAATCCTTGCACATTATTTCCTGGGGAAAAATTCAAGACGGGGAAAGGGTATGTATCTTTAAGGCTTTTGATAACCATAGCACCATCATCCCAACCAGGAAGGTGTGAAAATGTCTGCGTGTGCTTCAGTATACCTATCATCTTCTTAAATTTTGCCTATCTGATGAGAAGAACTATATTCCACTGCTGATTTTCTTTTCCATTTCTTTGATTGCTATGGAAATTGATTATTTTTCATGTTTAATTAACTATCATTTTTCTTTTGTGACTTTCCTTTTCTACAGGCACACTGACATTTATGAAATCACTACTCTTTGTAGATTAAGGATATCAACATTTTGTTATACACGTTAAAATTTTTTCGTAATTGGTTTATTAGTCTGTTTACGGTTTTTCTCTCCTGCTATAGAATTGTTAGTAGTTAAATAACTGTTGTAACTGGTTCATAAACATTGGAAAAGGTAAGTTATTTGCTTTTTGTAGGATTCAATGTTATTAAACTGCATTAAATATATTATTTAAATTCTAAACAATCTTGTCTACTTGCTCTGTGAAAGACTAAAGATTGTGATAAAACCTTCTGCTTCACTATATTTCAAAATTTATTTTGCATATTTGGAAACAATGTTGTTTGATGCATAAAGGCTCATGGGATCAAAATCTTCACTGTGAACTGAATTTAGTAACATAAAACTGTTTTCCAACACAGTGCTTCTCAAAGTGTGGTACCTGGACCAGCAATATCAGTATCACCTGGGAACCTGTGAGAAATGCAAATTCTTAGGACTCACCTAAGACCTACTGAAAATAAAAATTCTAGGTGTTGGGTCCAGCAATCTGTGTTTTAACAAGCCCTCCAGAAAATTCCGATGCAAGGGAAGGTTTAAGAACTCATGCTGTAACATTTAATTATTCCATTTTATTAGTTTATCTGGCATAAATAATTTGATAATTTGTCAGATCCTGATTCCTACTTGTTTACATGTACCTAAAGATATGTCCCTGTATTTTCTCATTACTGTCATTCATTAAACAGGTACAGTGCTAAGTGCTGGTACAAAATGTTGAGCAAAAACAGGCAAAGTTCCTGCCTTCAAGGAGTTTACGGTCTAACAAAAGGAGACTGAAAAATCTGAGTCACTCAAACAAATTTAAAACTCCATCCACAGTAAGTGCTCTCAAGGAGACATATGCAGTGCTATAAAAACCTGTGATAGGGAATTCACTCTAGCTCTGGAAGTAGGAAAGAGAAGCTCAAGTGCAGAGTAAAGATAAGGAATTAGCCTTGTCTCTAATAAACCATTCATAACTGGATTATTTTAAATCAACCTGACAAGCTTTGTCTTCTAATAAAGGAGATTATACCATTTGCTTTTATTGCTATAATTGATTTGGTTTTATGAGTCTTCTTCATGCTCCACCCTTTCTGATTGCTGCCTTAATTCCCAGTTGTTTGATATATGAACTCTTTATTTTTCCATTATTCTCCGATATTTCATTATTTTCCAATATTCTCTATTGTTATAGACAGTATATAAGATATAGTCCTCTAATTGCTAATAGTCAAATGGGAAATGACATTTTAAAGTCTATCACCATTGAGAAAGGTAGCATAAACCAGTGTTTCTCAAACTTTAGCATGTAAAAGAATCATCTAGAAAGACTGTTATAACATAGATTGCAGGGATCCACCCCAGAAATTCTGATCCTATAGGTCTGGAGTAGGGCCCAAGACTATATATTTCTAATAAGCTTCCAGGAACGCTGATCTGCTGGTCTGGAGCCACAGTATGAGTAGGACTGGCTTAACCTACTTTACTGTATCCCTCACCAATTCCTCCTTCCTTTTTTAAAGAGAACCCTCATTTTTAATATTTTAGAATAATCTGCCTTCTGCAATTTTATAATCAGATTTGGAACATTTTAAACTAACTTCTAGTTTATCTGGTTTTATTACTCACAATTCCTCTTATATGATAATTTTCTCACAATTGAGCCTTTAAATGCATTCCACAACTTAGTTCATCAGAGCATATCTTCAAATAACTTTGTGAAGATGGGTACATAGAAAAAAAAAAAGTATGTTTTGTAAGCCCTTTCTTTTCTCTTTACACACAAACCACAATTTGTCTAGATTACAACCTTTTCCCTTCAAAACTTATCCATTATCTTCTAAGATTTAGTATTGCAGAGAAGTCTGAGGTAAGTCCACCCTGAATTCATGGATAGGTAACTTCCTTTTTCAAGCCTGGATGCCTTTTTTCCCCTTTACAGTCACTGAGATCTATTTAGGTACAGGTCTCTTTAAACCGACTCTATCTGACCCGATGAGCCTATTAAATCTGCATATACAGATCTTCCTTTAGCTGAGCAAAGTTTTCTTCGACTAGATCTTAGGAGCGCTGTTTCTCACCACTGGTACTATAGCATCAATTATCTGAAACTGGCTGCCTGGTCTCCCTATTTATCATATTTTCCTTTCATTATCTTTATCTGTTCAAGTTCATTCTTCACATCACTAACTCCAATTTTGCAGATAAACTCGACTCTTTACTACACAGAATGTAGGTTTTAATTCTGTTCTTATGTTTTCTGCTTCTCTGAAATCCTTCCATGTCTCACTCCTCTCTCTTTACCTTCTTATTCTGTTGCCTTTTCACCATACAACTTCCAGGTCCTTTTTCACAGGGGTCATGCTATGGATTGAACTGTGCCCCTATCCTCAAATTCATATGATGAAACCCTAACTCCTAATGTGATGGCATGTGGAGATGGGGCCTTTGGGAGGTAAGCAGGATTAGATGAGGTCATAAGGGTGGGGCCCCACCATGGGATTAGTGCCCTTATTAGAAGAAAGGCCAGAAAGCACTCTCTCTCTCTCACATCATCATGAGACACATGGTGGCCAAATGCAAGCCAGGAGGAGAGCCCTCAACAGAACCCAGCCATGCTGACACCCTGATCTCAGGCCTTCCAGCTTCCAGAACTGTAAGAGATAAATTGTTTAAACTATCCAGTCTACAATATGTTACTGTGGCAGCCTAAGTGGACTGTAAGACAGGTCATATTTCCTTATATGAGAAGGCTGTCAAACAGAATGGTCTTCTAGATTTTGTGGCAGATCATTTTCAGAAGTGTGCTCTTCTCTGAGTCTTGTAAATTCTCTTTTTCTTGTTATGTGGAATTTACACAAAAATTCTCTCATTTTTTTTTTAACTTTTCAAGTTACTCTTCCTTATTCAGGCATAAAAATCAAGTAACCCATCCATGACTCCAGACTTAACTCTGTCTCGACAGACCACACAAATGAATTTTCCTTGATTCTCCCTCTGCCCATTATCATAGAAGTAATTCTTGGATCTGTAGATGAAGAGCGAGTTAACACATAAGGCTCCCCGGACCAACTCTGTCTTTTCTAGCAGGATTCTCTGCGCTGTCACTGCCTGGGTTTCCTCCAACCTAAGTACCTAATTCTCTAATATTCTCAGCTGATGCTGATGTGAAAGGTGTACTTCCCAGCACTCACTCCTGCCAGGGTGCTTCCTCTTCGCCTGACTACGAAGCTTTACTTGGGCATTCGGTCTCTTCAGAATACATGGTTCCTCTACTGGCTAATCCTGTTTAGGGTTCTGTGGCATTGGTCTGCTTATACATAGCAGGAGCCAAAGAAGCAACTTTTTTGTCTCACAAGACAGCTCCTGAGTAGTAGCAAGGGATGGTCTTACACCACCCTAGCAATCACAGCTCCATTCAGTACAGCTGGGAGCATGCTGGCAGCCAGATCCAGCCTGATCTTCTCAATGCAATCCTACACTCCTTATAATTTGTGATAATTCCTCCCAGGTCCTAGCATTGGCTGTCTTTCAGACTTACAGACACACAGAACACGCTTTATCTTGTTCTGCATCTTCCTGGGTAATTAACAAGTACCGCCTATTTAATGCTTTGCATGCATATGTCAAGGACTATGCTAATTCTTTTACAAACATAATCTCAACTAAGTCCCAAGACAATCCTGAAAGGTGAGTTTTATTGTCATCACCCCACTTAGAGTTAGAGAAACTATGGATTAGACAGATTAGAAAACTGGTAGGACATCATGCAGCTGTTAAGTGTAGAGCTGGGAGTCTATTTGGGTTGGCTCTAAACTCTTGCCCTTGACTCTTTCTCAGTAACATGTCTCACTACACCTTGGATATGGGCCAGGTGCTCGGTGAGACACCTTATGTGTGCGTGCTCCAACGGCACTGGAAAATTCAGAGACAGGCTTGTCCCTAACTTATGGGACACTCACAGGGGTAAGTAGCTAGGAAGCTGGTGACGACAGCATTCAAACCCAGGCTTGATTCCAAAGCCCATCTTCCTAAAGACAATGACATGGTTGGAAGAGTGGTAGTACACACCGGGACCACTGCCCCTGGATAGATACTGAACAAAGAGGTCATGGATCTTCCGTTCCTGTCCTGTATCTGCCTACGAATGTCTGTCTTTCCTACCAGATTATGAATTTGTTTTTTCAGACTATGAATTCTTTGAATGCTGCAAATATGCCCGATTCACATCTATGTTTCCCCTGCAGCAAGTAACTTCCTGTATTTGAGTGTTGAGGGTTTTGTCATATTCTTCATCTTTTTTTGGAGATAGAACTCACTCTGTTGCCCAGGTTGGAGTGGAGTGGTGCAACCTTGGCTCACTGACTGCAACCTCTGCCTTCTGGGTTCAAACGATTCTGCTGCCTCAGCATCCTGAGTAGCTGGGGCTACAGGCGCGCTCCACCCCCCCACCCCCCCCCCCCCCAGTTAATTTTAGTAGAGATAGGGTTTCGCCATATTGGCCAGGCTGGTCTTGAACTCCTGACCTCAGGTGATCTGTCTGCCTTGGCCTCCCAAAGTGCTGGGATTACAGGCATGAGCTATCACGCCCAGCCATATTCTTCATCTTTAAGATTATTTTAATGCTCCTATTTATCCAGTGTTTACTATGCATGTGACAACCACTGCGCTAACCACTTTACAGACATTATCTCATCTTCAGTTTCCTGAATGCTTTCAAAAGAGTTTAGAAAAAAACAAAGAATCATCCCATGACCACAGACAAGGGATGAGGAAGAAAAAGCATTTGGGGGAAGGGGAAGGGACCTACCCAACCCCTTCCAAGGGCTGGGACTGAGCTCTGCCCCAAAGAAAGTATTTAGCATTTCAGCTCCTCTGATTTTCCTTCACATAGATATCCTCATCTGCTTGTTCTGTTTTTGTGTATATTTTTCTAAGCTACATTAGATCCTTATTGGAAGGAAACAGAGACCATAAAGGTCTCTTCTTGCTGGGTAGTAAGATACAGGAAACGAGATAAATAGCAGGTATGTCAATTCCTGCTGAATGGCTGCAAAGGACAAATCTCACTCACTTGTGGTCCCACCGCACCTGCCCTAGGCTGGCCACCTGGCCCCTCCCAATCCATCTTCCTCCCAGCAGCAAAATTGGGCTTACTAAAATGCAAACCGGATCAAGTCCCTTCTCCACTTAGCAAACTCTCTGGCTCATTTGCCCGGGGATGCTGCCTGCTGGCATTCAAGGCTCTGTAAGACTTGAGGCCATCATCGATTCTTGGGACCAGCACAGCTCTCCAGCCTTTGCATGGGATGCAGGGGCTCATGCCCTACCCTTGTCCCCACCCAAAAGCTTTCAGCACTCCCCCAGGCCCCCCACAGCTCCCTGCAAGCTCTCTGTGTTGGAACTATCTGTTCAATTATCTGCTGTCCCCACCCCCAGGCCCCATCTGAATTACCCAAGGGCAGGACCACACATGTCCTGCTCCCTGCTGTGTGCTACAACACTCAATACAAGTTTATCGAAAACAGGCCAGACAAGTGTGTGGCTCCTGCCCTGGAGGGGTTTCCTGGGACAGAGACAGAGTGTCTGCCTGTGGCTGCCCTGGACCGCTCATTTGCTGATAGGCCCCTTCAGGTGACTATGACATGTTATTTTCCGAGCACCTACTATGTACCAGGCACTGTGCTAACAAGTGGTTTACATCCAGGATCTCATTTAATCCCCAACAAACTGGCGGGGAAATGTCATCCTCACTCCACAGGTGGGGACGCTGAGGTTCAGGATGGCTAACAGACCATGAGGACGCCAAGCCGTAAGTAGCAGCGCCAGGACTCAGCCCCAGCCTGGCTGCCTTCACTGCCCTGACCTTGACCCTGCGCTGCCTGCAGCTCCTCAAAAGCTCCAGTCCTGACTGGTGGGCACTGTTACTGCAGGTAAGGGATACCACCCACCGCTACCCCTGCCCTAGCAGTGAGACTGAGCCCTGCTTTCCTTGGCCCTCAGCCCCAGAAAGAATCCCACATACTTGGCCCGATTTTCTGGAATGGTTCCGGGGGCTCCTCCTTCACCTCGTCACTGGCCACGACACCTTGGTCGAAGGGGTCTGTGGGAGAACATATGGCCCTTAGTACCCTGGTCCCCCAGGTATCAGGAGCCCAGCCGGGGACAGGGGAGGTGATGAGCAGCCACCAAGGACTTACCTGCCCGGTTCTCAGGGGCCCCTTCCACACTAAACACTGCGCCGGGGCGGGAGGTGGCAGCCGCAGAAGGAAAGAAGCAAACAGGAGCCCTGTTAGTCCCTGCCAAGAGCTGCCTCTGCTGCCGCTCCCAGTCCCTAGCCCCCTGGGATTGCCTGGAGGCCCAGGAGGGCTGCCCTGGCCACCGTGGAAGCCCCCCAAAACCAGGACAACACGAGGACACATCCCAACCAGGACACAGCCTGGCCCGCAATCCCTCATCCTCAGTGGGACAGGCACCCATCCCAGTGCAGGCAGGCATTGTTTGCCTAGAACTGTTTCTGATTGCCATCATGCCTTCAAGGGGCCAGGGCAGGAGAAAAGAGGAAGAGATTGGGAGGAGAGAAAGGAGGTGAGAAAAGGGATGCGCCAGTGGTAACAGGTGGTGGGCCTGGCTGTCACAGCTCGAGGCAGGCTGAGGGTGTGGTGCTAGATGGGGAACCCCTAAGGCCTTCTAAGGTCACAGACCCTCTTTCTAGGATTCTTAAGATTCAAAAATGTATTACCTAATGTATTGTTCTAATTTCTAATTCTATAATCTAAGCTGCTAAAAGGCCATCATTCATTTTTTAAAATCGGTTTAATCTCATCAGAACATGAAAATGCTCAATAGGAAACTATAAAATGACTCGATATGAAATTTCAATATTCTACTGATTTTGACCTATAAAAATGGCAATTTCACTACTTAACCTAAATACAAGTGTATGTGGAGTATGATGGGGACGTTCCCGCCCCCAGAATCCTCCAGGGCTGGTCACCCCCCTCGTGGTTCTGGCTGCTGCCTGGCCTTTTTCTGGGTAAGAGGGAGGAGGGAGGCGGGGAGGGTTGGGGGCTGTGCCTTGGAGGAAGGGTGCCTCTTGGCGTGACTCCAGGGAGTGAGGGCCTGACTCACCGTCCACTGCATGTAGGTCTCGGTGCTCCTGGAAACAGCTGTAGTATTTGTACTTCTTCCCGCAGATGTCACATGTGTACCTGAAATTGTCTGCAAAGGATGAAAACACACACCTGGTTACCAGGGCGACAGTCATGTGGGGTGGGGTTTTTCTGGCCAGATCACCTCAGAAACCAAAGACAGGACTAGCCCAGTCTGGCCCCAACTGAATGACCCCGAGGAAAATCAGTTCCTGAGCCAGTCTGTACCCTGGCACTGCCCATGTCTTCTAGACCTTGGAAGGCCACCGCACCACCTACCCCCTGGAACGCCCAGCTTCTTCTCCCCAACGTGCAGGAGGGTAAAGCTCTTGCCTCAGTGCTGGCCCCACCCTCTACCCCAAGCCAGCCCTGTATTGCCTTCTGGGTCCACAGGATGTAGGCTGGGCTGTCAGGGGTCCTCTGTGGAGATCCAGACCACACATCCAGACCACACATCTGGTCCCATATGACTGGGAACCCAGAAGTGACTCCAAAACCAACCCTTTGGTTTGGCCTGCCCTAGGTAAGGTGAGTTCCTGAGCGCCTGGTTCTTAAATGGCCTGGCACGCCCTTCACAGAAGCGCTGTGAGAGTAACAGTCCCTGCAGCAGCCAAGCCCAGGTGCTACAAGAAGCAAGGCAGCAGGTCTGGCTCTTCCCTGCATCTCCTCAATTCTTGCAGCAGAGGGAGGAAGCAGGCTCTCATTTTACACAGGAAGAAACTGAGGATTAGAAGGGACTTGCCCCAAGGGCACAGCTGGGAGGGCCTGTGATGAGTGGCTTTGGGGACAGCACCCAGGGCTCCTGGCCTCTTGATGCTCACGCCCTATAATCACCTCTTCCCTGTGAGTCTGGGCTAGACCTGGTAACTGACTTCTAATGAACAGAATGCAGTAAATATGATGGAGTATCACTTCTGAGGGTAGCTTGCAAAAGATCTTGACTTCTGTGTCAAGCATACCTTCTCTCTCCAGCTCACACCTGCTCGCTGCTGGGCTTGTGAGCTGCCCCATGAGAGACCCAGGTGACCACAAGCTGAGGTCAGCCTCTGGTGAACAGCCAAGGAGGCCCTCAGTCTAAGGCCCTGGGAAGGACAGAATCCTAGGAGGGTTGTTAACCCTGCTAAAAACCGTGTGAGTGAGTTTAAAAGCAGCTCTTGGCCAGGCGAACTGGCTCACACCTGTAATCCCAGCACTTTGGGAGGCTGAGGCAGGTGGATCACGAGGTCAAGAGATCAAGGCCAACACGGTGAAACCCTGTCTCTATTAAAAATACAAAAATTAGCTGGGCATGGTGGTGTATGCCTGTAGTCCCAGCTACTCGGGAGGCTGAGGCAGGAGAATCGCTTAAACCAAGGAGGCGGAGGTTGCAGTGAGCTGAGATCACCCCACTGCACTCCAGCCTTGGCAACAAGAGCGAGACTCTGTCTCAAAAAAAATAAAAAGTAAAAAAAAGCAGTTCTTTCCCTGATTGAACCTTGAGATGAGACCCCAGCCCTGGCCAAGTCCTTGCCTGCAGCCAGGGAGAGACCCAGTGCCACAGGACCCAGCAAAACCATATCCAAATTCTTGACCCTGGAAACTGAGGGATAATCAGTGCTCACTGTTTTCAGTCATTAAGTTTTAGGGACATCTGCTACACAGCAATAGGTAACTAACATGGGGTAAGAGTTTGGATGATCCCCCAAGTCTACCCAACATCTGAGGCTGGACACAGGACATGACCCCCTCCACAACGGCACACACTAACGTTTGCACTGGCGTGGACCTCATGTGTGTGCTGTTTGGGACGATGCAGAGAGGGCCTATCAATCACATCTCCCCAGGCGCAGGGACACTTGGTGGTCTGCTCAAGGCTGGACAGAAGGGAAAGGGAGAGCTAGGACTCAAACACTCGCTAACCACCAGCTAACTGAGTCAGGGCATGTGGCCCTTCCCTGTCTGAATAAGCTGCACATCAGTACTGGGCTGGGGTACCTGTCTCCTGGTCCCTCTCCTGCCCCTCAGAACCCAAATACAGGATCTGATGCAATCCTCTACCACAAGGTTACACCACCAGCTAATTCGGTGGGAAGGTTTCTGGCCCTACCTTCTGAACTTGGGGCACAAACGGCATTAGCCACCTCTTCCATTGCAATGGTATTCTCTGAAAATGCCTTAGCAGATGCCAGAGCCTCAGACACAAACTGGTCCCTGAGCAAGAAGCCACAGGAGCTTTGAAGACATTCTGAGGATGCTGGGTACCAAAATCATCCAAGAAATAGGTGGTGGGGTATGGGGCAGGAGAAGCTGGTCCTACTTCCTTGTTTTTCCCCCTAACTGGGGGAGCTGGGAAAGGGATGTAGATGAGCTGATTCCTGGGGCCTCCCCCAGGCTGGCGGTTCCAGGATTCTATGCCTGGCCCAGGCTTTAATCCTTTCATGTGGCCAGCAATCAACAGAGACAACTTCCCCATCAGGTCCCAACCAGACCATGGTCCCCAGTCTCCACTTGGCAACCCTGACTTCTGTGCAGGACTCCTGCTCAGGAACAGAGACAGAGAAGTCAAGGCCACCCGGCGTCTGGATCCAGACTGGGTTTTGCCCTGACTTTCCTCTCCTAAGCTGACGAGTGCTGCCCACCATCTGCTACCACCTGCCTGCTTGCTTGTCTTTACCCACATAGCCTCCTGGCCAGCTGGGCCTGACCCCTTGCTTCAGGACCTCCAAGAAAACGTGAACCCCCAAGTTTCTGCTGCTGAGAATACCCCCACCCTGCTCCCACACCATGACATCTCTTTGACGTGGATAGGGAGCATGTTCCCAGGTCTTCTGCAGGCAGGAATTGATTAGGGCAAGACAGTTATTCTTTTTTTTTTTTTTCTGAGACGGAGTTTTGCTCTTGTTACCCAGGCTGGAGTGCAATGGCGCAATCTCGGCTCACCGCAACCTCCACCTCCTGGGTTCAGGCAATTCTCCTGCCTCAGCCTCCTGAGTAGCTGGGATTACAGGCATGCGCCACCGTGCCCAGCTAATTTTTTGTAATTTTTAGTAGAGATGGGGTTTCACCATGTTGACCAGGATGGTCTCGATCTGTTGACCTCGTGATCCACCCGCCTCGGCCTCCCAAAGTGCTGGGGTTACAGGCTTGAGCCACTGCAACCAGCCCGAGAGTTACTCTTAAAGAGTAGAACAAAATCATTTTTTTGTCAGTGAAAACTCATTTTCAGAACCAGTCCATTTTCAGACACGAAAGCTCAGTGTCTTTCCGAATGCTGCTGTGGTTCCGTTCAGGGAGGCAGGGAATCAGGCTGCCTAATCAAACCCAACTGCACCACTTACAAGTGGGACAGACCTCAGACATGTTGCCTAACCTCTGCACCTCCGTTTCCTCATCTGTAAAATGGGAATGAGAGGTTCTCCATTTCCCAGAATTAGAACAAAGAATAAAGGAACACAATGCCTAACATCCAATAAACACCTGCCAAATGTTACCAAATTCAGTTACAAGCATTAATGTGACGCAGCGTGAGGGACTGATCTTTTATTCCTTAGTGGACAGATGCGTGAGTGAATATGTCTTTATGCTTCTATGTAAGACTGCACTATTTTCCTAGCAAATAAATGAAAAGTCCTAGAACTGTTAATAGAATGTGCAAGGCTCATTTCTAGGCCCACCTCACTTATCACAAGCTGCATGACTCCCTCTCTCTGGGACTTAGCGTCCTCATCTGCAAAAGGGGTGGGCTGGACTATTCTCAGCTGAGCCCTTGTAGCTCCGTGACTCCACGGCCAGGCCCCTGTAAGGTGGAGGCCAGGCGTTCCAAGCAGGCGCTGCCGGCCTGGGTCAGGGCGGGGGCGCAGGACTGAGAATAAAATAGCTCGCGATGGCCGTGGGGAGGAAACTCCACAGGGAGGAAGGGAAAAGTGATGGAAAGTCTAAAAATACCCCCGGCTCCAGGGCCCTCAGCAACCAGCAAGCCCGCGGACAACGGAAGCCAGACGGAACACAGCAGATCACGGAGGGGCTGCCGGAGAGGCCAGGGGCCCAGAATAGCTAAGGAAGGAAAGATAAATAGGGAAGTTCTTTAAATGTGTGGCTGACCGCAGTCAGACCATGGGAGCCGGAAAAGAATGGAGCTATTGAGGGAGATGGGAGCCAAGGGGTGGGCTGGGGCTGGGGCAGGAAGGACAGGGCTGGAGGGGGAGGGCTGGCTCCCACCTCCTCCCAGCTGGAGTCCTGTGGCAGGTGTCTAGCCGACCTGAGTCTCAGATTCCTGTCCAGAACATGTCGGCCTCTCCTTTGGCATAAGAATCCAATCGGAGTGGATGGGAAAGTGCCTCAGAAGAAACGCTGTCAGGACCCAGGCCAGTGAAAATCCTTCCTCAGCCATCGGCACCTCTTCAAACTGCTCTGGTTTGGGGTTCTGTTGGGTGGGGGGTGGTGCTGTTTATTTATTATGTTAAAAACCTTTTTTTATGATGGTGTGGTGTAACAAGCCTGTAGAATGGGGACTGGCACGCTACAGTCTGCGGGCCAAATCCTGCCCACCATCTGTTTTGGTAAGGAATTCATTTACATATTATCTCTGTTCCTGGCATGTTCCCACTACAAGGGCAGGGCTGAATACTTGTGACGGAGACGTCTGGCCTATGAAGTCTAAAATACTTACCATCTGGCCCTCTACAGAAAAATCTTGCTAACCCCGGTATAGAAAAGTGTACACATCGTAAGTGTACAGCTTGTTCAGTTTCCACAAACTGAATACACCCATGTAACCCACACTCAGCTCAAGAAACAGAACCGAGAAGCCCTCTCTCCAGCGGAGCCGCTCTTCCAACTTCTACCGACAATTAGTTTCAGCGCTTTTGCCCTTTCTCTACGCAGTCTTCAAGGATGAACTCTGTTTGCGCCTTGCTCACCATTGTGAGTCATTCGTGTTGCAGTGTGTAGCTATAAATTGTTCATTCTCACCAACACACAGTGGTCCTTTCTGTTACTAGACTTACTTATCCATTCAGTGAGCACTGAGCTTTGGGGATTTCTAGTTTGGGACTGCAAGGAACAGTGTGCTAAGAACATTCTAGTTTGCATCTTTCAGCAGATATGCACACATTTTTGTTGGCGACATACCGACAGGTAGAACTGTGACTTCTGCAGCTTTGTATTATTGGGTGGGGTGATTCCATGCTAGCCTACACCTCACTGGCTGCTCGCTAACCAGGCACTTGGGGTCTAGAACTGGAGGGAAGGTAAGCAGGGCCTGTGAGCAGCCGTGCTGTCACAGATGTTAAGGTGCTGGGATATGACACCCTAAGGCAAGTCACCAATAAGCAATTAGTGCCCCTGGCTGTGGGGGCTCAAGAGAAAATGCTCCAAAGCAGCATGTCCCAAAAGTCAGCGATGGAGCCCCAGAGTCACGAGTCAGTCAAAAGAACATAAGGAACTGCATACTCCATACTTCCAGGGCTGCATCTGTCAGAGGGGCTGGAAACACCCACAAGAAAGAAAACTGCTCTCAAGGTCTCCCCAAGCTACTTGGCCGGGGAAATCATCAGGGACAGAACACCTGCTAACCTTCCCAGAAGGAGCTTGCTACGGAGCACACTTTGGGGATGGCGCTCTGAGGCCCTGTGTTGCGGGGCCCAGCCCCAAAGCTTGAACCCCAGAACTGTGTCTCTCAGAGGCCACCTGGAGCAGTTCTGGGGGAGGAAACAAGCATCTCCTCTGCCTCCTACCCCAAGCCCTTGCCCCTCAGCAGCCCATGAGGAGAAAAAGGTACTCACTGCTTTGGGAGGCTCCCTCCCCTGAGGTGGCTTCGGTGTCTGCAAAGAGAGAAAGAGGGACCGGGGTGAGCCTACCAGCCCAGTGACAGGGCCAATGTCAAGCACAAAAGAACGTGGAAGTCACAGGGGAAGAGCTCACAGTCCTGCCCTGGGCCCCTAATGTCAGCCTCTCCTCCCTGCCTGCCAGGTTCCAGCAGAAGCAGACACCATCCCTCCTGTCCCTGACTCCCACGCTTGTCATGAGGAACACACACACTGAACCCAACACGTGCCCTGTGGGGACCACTGACCCGAACAGTGATGAGGTATTCTGGGAGGCGTGAGGCCCGAGGGAAGCAGGTGTGTCCTTTGGTGTCCCCCTCCCACACCTGTGCTATCCCACATCAGGAGGCCTCCCTTCTGCCTGGCACCCTGCCCTACTGATGAAAGCGGGAGGAGAATGGGAAAGGCTGGAGCTCTCAGGGCCTCGGGGGTCACCCACAGGGAGCCCAAGTGGAAAACAGACAGGCAATGAGAGGTTCGGCTCTGCCCCAGCGATCCTCTCACCTCGGTGTGCCCGCACGTGGGTCTGGAAGCAGTTGTAATATTTGTACTTCTTGCCACAGATTCCACATTCGTAAGACCCTAGAAAACAGAAGAAGAAAAAACTTGTCACCCAACCTCTGTGACTGCAAGGTCCCAGGACCCACAGGTGATGTCTCCAAGTGTGGCTGACTCTGAGTCCCGGAGTGGAGATGGTCCCTGGCAAGGAGGCAGCACTGAGCTAGAAGTCAGGAGGCCTGCATCTAGACCCAGCTTTGCCTCCCATTCTCTGAGTGACCTTGGGCAAGGCACCCCCACCATCTCTGGGCCTCAGTTTCTAAATATGTAAGATGGAGAAGGTAACTTCTTTAGCTAACTCTCAGCCCTATACCTTGAGGGGAGAAAGAAGATGAATGTAGAAGTGCTCTGAAAGGAATACATTGCATCCACGTAAGGAAATAATCACTTAAATGTATTAGAATAATTTCTAGTGACCCCTTTTCCTTGCTGGGATGGGACAGAGATTAAGACAGAGTGAAACGGACACACCTGGGTCCCTGTCCCTGTGCTGTCACCAGCAGCATGACCTTGGTATTTTTTTTTTTTTTTTTTTTGAGACAGAGTCTCACTCTGTCTCCCAGGCTAGAGTACAGTGGCACAACCTTGACTCACTGCAACCTCCGCCTCCTGGGTTCAAGTGATTCTCCTGCCTCAGGCTCTCGAGTAGCTGGGATTACAGGTGCCAGCTATCACACCCAGTGCCAGCTACCACACCCAGCTAATTTTTGTATTTTTAATAGAGACAGGGTTTCACCATGTTGGCCAGGCTGGTCTCAAACTCCTGACCTCAGGTGATCCACCCGCCTCAGCTTCCCAAAGTGCTGGGATTACAGGCATGAACCACCGCACCTGGCCTGACCTTGGTAATTCCCTTAGATGCACTAAGCCTCAGTCTGCTGATCTGCAGAATGGGACCACATGCACCTACATCGTAGGGGTGGCCCTACACTCCCTGCAGGAAGTTCCCAGCCCCACTACAGACATGCTCAGCAAGAAGAGGACCCCCCACACCTGCTGAAGAGTTATCTTGTTCCCTCAGACACACAGAGACCGACGTAGTATAAATGCCTGCCTCTAGCCTCTCCAGCTCCTAGCCAGGCCCTTCTCCCAAGAGCAGGGAGACTGAACTGGCCGAGCTCCTAGTGGGCACTACAGAGAGGTTAAAGGAAGAACCTACCCATGCAGAGGCCAGAGCAAAGGCCCATAGTAGGAGGCCAAGAAGAGCCCCTCAGATCCAGCCTGGCAGGGGCTCCAGGGGCAGAGTCCCTGCCTGCTCCCCATCAAAATCTGATGCCACCTGGGCCCAGGCCTTGCTCTTCCTAACAGAACAGCCAGGGAGCGTCGACAAATGCAGAGGCCTCAGCCCACTCCAGGTTTTGCAATCTAGAGTGGCTGGGGTGGGGGCCTGCCTGTTCTAAGGTCCCCAGGGAATTCTGGTACCCAGCATCTGGGGATGGGAGAGGCAGACCTGGGCTAAGAGTCTTCACTCTGCCATTTACTGGTTGGGCCTCAATTTCCTCGTGGGAAAAATGTGGATGATTCAAGAGTGTTGGTGTGAAGACCGAGTTTGCATAAAGAGTGTTCCCAGCACAAGACCAGACCCTCCGTGAAGGTTGAGATCATTAACTCCTACTCCCTTGGTCTTGCCTGGAAGCAGCGGCCCATTTCCTGGGTGGAGATCTGAGGCAGGAGGTAAAGCTAGAAGAGCACCGATGTGGAGTCTGAAGCCTAGTTCAGCTCTGGGGTCTCCGATGTTTTGGCTTCCCTGGGTCACACTAGAAGAAGAATTGTCTTGGGCCACACATAAAATACACTAACACTAATGATGGCTGATGAGCTAAAAAAAAAAAAAAGAAAAAGAAAAAACAAACACAAAAAAACTCATAATGTTTTAAGAAAATTTACGATTTTGTGTTGGGCCGCATTCAAAGCCATCCTGGGCCACATGGGGTTGCGGGCCATGGGTTGGACAAGCTTGCCTTATCTGTTTCATCTCAGACACATCCTTTTACCTGTCCAAACCTCCATTTCCCCACTGGCAAAATCGGCCTCTGATTCCTACATTTCATGACTGAGGTCCGTACCTGATAACCAGGTTCATCTTGTAAGTCGGCTGGCACACCACATATGCTGAGGAACAGGAGCTGGGGCCACTGGTCCTACTGTGGGTCACTCTAGGGGCCGCTGTCATCCTAACTCCAGTGTAGGATTTAGTAGCCTGTTATTTAGTGGTCTGTGTGTGGATTACCCTTGTCACACAGGAAAAAATACAATCACGTGGAGGGCAAAGATCAGTGCATATTTCTTTGTATTTAGCCCTGTGACTGGCACACAGCGAGGGCTCCATAAATCCATGGTGTCTTGCTGTTGCACTCATCTGTCACTGAGTAATAATGTCTCCAACTCTCTTCTACTGCCTCCACCCACTCTTCAGCAGTTTCTGCCAATTCCCCTTCAACCAGTGAAGAATTTACAGAGTGCCTGCAATGTGCCGGCACTGAGGCCCCAGCAATGAGCAAGATGTGTTCCTCATCCTCCGTGTAAGGAGAAGTAGACAGGCCAGCTGGTATGGGGACAATGCAGGGTGATGGCATTAGGGCAGCAAGTGTGGGGCCTAAGGGCACAGAGGCGGAGCCCTGGCCGAGCCACAGCGGGGGGCCCAAGTCAGTGGAGTGGACACTGTTTATAGCCAAGCCAAATCCCGACTGGCAGGCCATTGGGGGTTCACCCCAAGCTGTGGGAGAGCTGAGGGCACATGCAGCCTTGCCCGCAGGTGTCACCCCACAGAGGGAATCATGGGGGGCATGATGGCTCCTCAGCCTCTCCTTGGCTGGCTCCTGACCCCCGATGCAGTGAGGCAGCATGTCTGGCACACAGAGTCTCTGGATTGAGCACCATGTGCTAGCAGGAGGGACCCTGAGCTGCCCTCCTCATGCAGCCTAAAACCCAGGGCCCTGCCTGCCCCTCACTCAGCCTAAGACCCAGGGCCCCGCCTGCCCCTCACTCAGCCTAAGACCCAGGGCCCCGCCTGCCCCTCACTCAGCCTAAGACCCAGGGCCCCGCCTGCCCCTCACTCAGCCTAAGACCCAGGGCCCCGCCTGCCCCTCACTCAGCCTAAGACCCAGGGCCCCGCCTGTACCTCACTCAGCCTAAGACCCAGGGCCCTGTCTGTCCCCCACTCAGCCTAAGACCCAGGGTCCCGCCTGCCCCTCACTCAGCCTAAGACCCAGGGCCCCGCCTGCCCCTCACTCAGCCTAAGACCCAGGGCCCCCCGCCTGCAACTCACTCAGCCTAAGACCCAGGGCCCCGTCTGTCCCCCACTCAGCCTAAGACCCAGGGCCCTGTCTGTCCCCCACTCAGCCTAAGACCCAGGGCCCTGTCTGTCCCCCACTCAGCCTAAGACCCTGGGCCCCGCCTGCCCCTCACTCAGCCTAAGACTCTGGGCCCCGCCTGCACCTCACTCAGCCTAAGACCCTGGGCCCCGCCTGCCCCTCACTCAGCCTGACTCTGGGCTTCAGGTTCCCCTATATGCAGATGGGGCCAGAGAGGTGAGAAGTGGGGCATGGGGAGAGTTCACCAGAGTGGCAGCCCACGGTGCAGCGATACCAGCAAATCTGGGTTCAAACTCCGACTCACCACATCCCAGCGGAGGGAGCCCTGGACAAGTCATGGAATGACCAGCGCCTCAGTTTCCTCTGTGTAACACTGTCCACCTTTCACAGTGGGTCCTTAGCACAGGGCCTGGTCCACAGCAGACACTCGATACATGACAGCTGCTGTTACTTGCAGCATTTTCCAAAGTTTATTCTTTGGAACCCAACTTCCTGAATGCACCCCAAGAAAAAGAGGACCATGCCCAAGCGAGCATGAGGAGACCTCGTGGTGTGGCCGTCCTGGGGAGGCCAGGGCACAGGAGCAGACGCAGGCTCTGAGAAGTCCTGCAGTGAAAGGTCAGCGGCTGGTTTAACCCGGGGTCTCCCAAACACATTTGGCTTGGACCCTTTTGTCCCCTGTTTCAGAGTTGCAGCCCACAGGAAGTGCTGCCAAAATGCGCTGGACATTCTAGGCATCCAGATTTCCACATGCTCTATCTTCCCTCCAGCACTGCAGTCCTTCTGGGATCCCAGGACAGGGGATGAGGAGGGTGATTCTTCTTGACCCTGAGATGCTAGCAGGGCCTGCTTTCTCAGGTCTGTCGAAGATGGCTGTGTCCAGCTGTGCCCCCACCCATGCTGGCCCCGGACCAGGCACTACCCCTCGGCCATCACGTACCAGATGCATATCTCAATGCTTGGTCAAAAATCCAGGTCCCTGAATACCGGCTTCGCACAGATCCACCGTGGGGGCTGCCTTCGGGCGCTTTTCCATCTGAATTACGTAAGAAATCAGAAAGAGCCCTTAAAGTTGGAGAATGCCTGGGAGGTTAGGGAAGGGGCGAAGTTGGCTGGGGAGGGGCTCTGAGTCTAGCGTTGGCCAGTTACCTGCGCTTTGAGGGCCTCAGTCTCCCCAGCCGCCTTTTGAGAAGCGTGGACCAGATTACACTGTCTACCTCTTCATTAAAAACCTTGTGCTGGCCACGGGGCATCCATGTGCTCCCCAGGGAGGCTGAGGCACCGCAGGATGCAGCAGCCACAGGCCAACAGCTCCCTGAAGTTTTGTGTTTTCTCTGTATTCTGATTCATCATATAATTGGAACATACAATTTCTACCCAAAAACCATCTGGCAAAATGACCCTCCAAGGAGATAGGCCCCATGGGTGCAGTGCCCATGTATCCCCCTGGCCTTTGACCAATGTAGACCCAGACTGATGCCGTGGGGCGAGGAGGGCCTTCTTGGGGACTCAGCTCAGACGGTCCCAGCCCCAATGCCTGACTCCCTGCCCAGCACACTTCCTCTTCTGCTCATCCCAGCTACTTCTGTCCTCTAGGAACCATGGCTGTCACCATCACCGCCTGTCTGGGTTCCCTTCATCTGCAATGTTTCCATGCAGACTGACCTCTGCCCCGCTGCACAGGTGAGGAAGCAGAGGCTAGGGCAGGTGTGTGCAGCATCGAGCACAGTTCACGCAGCCAGCTAGTGGCCTCAGGGTCCTGGCTCAGGAGCTTCTCACACCAGCTCCGTTCATCTTCACAATTCCAGCAGGTAAAGGTGATTATTATCCCCATTTTTCAGAAGAGGAAAGTGAGGACCAGAGGGGCAACGCATAGCACCAGAGGTCGGTCAGATCTGATCTGTTCCCAAGCCACGCAACTAGCCTCTTGGAAAGTACCATGAAGAAATGGTGCTTGTGAGCTGCGTGCAGTGAATCCCAGCATTTTGGGAGGCCAAGGCAGGCAGATCATCTGAGTTCATGAGTTCAAGACCAGCCTGGGCAACATAGCAAGACCCTCATCTCTACAGAAAATATAAAAAATACAGGTACGGTATCCTCCTGTAGTCCTAGCTACTTGGGAGGTGAGAAGATCACTTGAGCCCCGGAGGTGGAGGCTGCAGTGAGCTGTGATCATGCCACTGTACTCCAGCCTGGGCAGCAGAGTAAAATCCTATCTCAAATAAGAAAGAGAGAGAAAGGAAGGGAGGGAGGGAGGGAACGAACGAACCTTTACTGATGATCAAGCACACCAGGTCTCATTTCTATCCACCATTTTCCCAGAAGTCCTCATGAGGCTGGCAACGCAACATCCATTGCAAGGATGAGCATAAGGCTCCAGCAGCTCAGCTAGTGGCTGGCAAGGAACTGGGCTAAAGTAGGCTTTGGGGATCCAGAACCATGCTACTGCCACCATGCCAGGTCACCTGCTGGATGCCAAGTGAGTTGTGTGTTCCTTTCAGTCATGGCACTTTCTTTAAATGCTACAGAGTGGCAGAGCCCCCTACTATGTCTGATGCTGCTGCAAGACTCCCAAGAGTCCTTTATTGAGAGCCCCGGGGCTGCTGCCAGGGATGGCTGGCAGGGCTCGCCAGCACACAGGAGGCAGGAGCAGACTTTTCCTCTCCCCATTCCTGCTAGCACAAGTGATGCAACAGGAATCTGCATTCGCCATCCCAACAAATCTGAGTTCACAGCTCCCACTGAGCACTTTCCCTAAACACCTGGCTTAGCTCCCTTCCAGAGCATCTGACAGATCAGGTAAGGCCAGGGGAGTCTAGTTCCTGATGTCACAGAGGGAGACGCTGAGAGTGCCTAGGAAAGGATATAGGCTTCTGAGAAAGAACATGGGGTAGCAACCCTTTGCTAGGTCCAGAGAAGCTTAGACGTCTTTCGGGATTCACAAAACGCAACAAGACAGAAATCCAAAGCAGGTGAATGAGAGAAGAAAACACCAGGGTAGGGACACAAGGCTGTTTCCTTACAACGGGCAGTCCATATTTAGCTTGGAGCGACTCGGGAGCTGCTGTTCAGAGAACGAATGCTTAGGAGTGCCCAGCCCTCTCCGTTCAAACATGCAATAGGAGCTGGGTCCAGGGCTTGCCGAAGGACAGGGATCTGAATGGGGAAGTCATGGACAAGTAGGTTTCCTGAGGATGTGGGGCTTGGCCTCAGACCAAATGTCCTCTGGAGCAGGGACTTCCAAGTGAGGCACAAATCTCCTGGGAGTATGCAGCAGCTGCCCAGGGGGTAAGCAGGTCCATGCAGCCTTCAGAGAATCATCAGCTTCTAAATGTGTTCTTTCCTCAAATCAGTGTGCCAGAGAACCTGGCAGGTGGGAGGCCCCACTTCCTGGTTCTTCCCACTCTCACCTTCACCCTTCTGCCACGTTACAAACAAAAGACGATCCTTTCACCCACCGCTAATCCTACCACGGTGCCTGAGTGCCCCAAGAGATGAAAACCTTGGGGCTCTAAGCAAAGAGGTGCCCCTACCACATCGGCGCCAGGCTCATAAAGTGAGTGGATCTAACGACCGGGAACGACTCCTTTTTCAAGTCTGGTGATTTCCAATTCTTTGCTCTCAACAAAACTGAAGGAGGATCTAATGGAGTTGTCAGGCAAGAGACCATTAAAAATATTGTCTGATGATAGACCCCCGTGTGATTTCTGGCATATAACTTGGAAGGAATTCAAAGAATTGAGTGACACTGTGGAACAAAACTCTCTCCATTGCCAGCTCCTTATTTATGTAACTGAGAGCTTTCGAAGCACTTAGACCTACAAAAACCAAAAGATAGGAATTAAATTAAAGCTGAATCTTGTCTCCTTCTAGCAACAAGAAATATTAATTCACAGATACAGGAGCCAATTGAGAAAGAAATGAAGCCCTATCCATTTCATTAAGAGATGCGTTTTCAATAATTTTTTACTTTTACATTTACTATTTACCTAAATTTGGTTTTGATGAATTGTATGCTAATAACAACTCAAACGGGGGAAAAAATGTTGGAGAATGTAGAGCTTTATGATCCCAGGAAATTTTTTTTTAGAAATTTCAATTTATGTATATCTTGTTACAGCAGATGAGTATGAAACAGTGATCAATAAAAGACTTTCAAGCATAAAAAAATATATTTTACATTAGGATAAAATCCTGTGGGGGCAGTGGACTGGAAATATGAGCTCAAGGAGAAAAAGGAAAGATGTAAAATTTCTGACTGTTAAAGATAGGCTTGTTTATATGTTTCTGAAGTGATGATGGCGGATATCAAATAGTGGTGGTGTTTGGATTCCCTTGGATACGTTTTGAAAATTGGTTCACAGTTTTATTTCCAAAATGCCACCTTTTTTTTTTTTTTTAAACACAGTATCACAATATCCTGGAAATTATATCCTTTGCAATGATTTAAACTTTGGATAAAAATGTTAGATGTCAACTTAAACATGTGAAAAAGAAGATACAGTTTTCAAAATTCTTTTAGGAGGTACTGAGCAAAAACAAATGTTTGAAATCCTTGGCCTTTTAGGTTCCTGTCACTCTAGAGGTAATCAGTGTCCTAGAGATATCAATGTCCTGAGGTTTCAGCTGACAGCAGCGGTACTGGTTTTACGTTTTTTTATCCCCTGTTAAAAACACTTGCATGCCTATTACTTCCCTCTGCCCCCAACAACTCTACTGGAAAGAGGTGCCGGCTTTATTCTACCTACTGATCATTCAAGACACGTGGCTTGGAGAAGTTAAGGGGCTTATCCAAGGCCCCACAGTAGGGTAAACCCGGAGCTCTTGACTTACAGCCCTGGGGCCCTTTCTAACAGGGACTCCCCAGCCCTTCAGACCACAGGAGGAAGCGTCAGTAGCAGAGACAGGACGCGCCTGGAGAGTGGCCAGAACGCCTCCTTTCCGAGTGGCTGCAGCAAAGAGCTGAGAGTTGGTTCTGGCAGGCTCTCGTGTGAGGCCCTGCCAACAACCTATTGAAACAGGAAACTAACTATCAGCTGGCAGATGAATCAGAACCTGGCACCTACGCTGCCTGGGTCTGTCACAGGCTGAAACCCACGTGGCTGTGTCTGAATGACTGTCAAGCTCCTCTGCTGCTTCTTCCAGCACCATAGCCTAGCTGCTGCCTCCTGGCTGGAGCTCCTTCCTCCTTCCCACGCTCCCCGGGCTGCCCTGTGTGTTTGAAAACACCTCTTTACCTTGGTCCTGAAAGCTCACTGCCTAGAAACAGCCTTGCAGGATCCAGTCTCCCCTCTGTCTGATCCTTGACTCTCCCTCCTGCACTTTGTCCAGTGATCCTCCCTGATCACCTATGTCAGGACAAGGAACTCACTCCTTCACAGGTGCACATCCAACAGTTCCCATGATCACACAAAGTCCTTCCTTTTACTGAGTTGAAATCCCCTCCTGGAGACTTCTCCGTATTGGCTGGGACACCCTGGAATGTGTCTGCTCCATATGCCCCTTGCAAAATGCTATAAGTTGTGAATATTTAGATTCCATCATCCTCCCCCTCATGCCTCCACTAACCCCAGTCTCCTCCTAACCCAGGACAAACATCCCTTAGCTCCTCCATGGAGCTCTTCTCCGCACCGAGCTGACTCTCTGCGGGAAGGACCCAGTTGGTCCCTGTCCCTCATCTGAAGAGAATCAAGTCTGGGCCACTCGTTCTCTCCATGGTCTCCTGCACTGCCACTGGGGAAGCTGGGTAAGTCTTGGGTCTCCGGCCCCTACAGCTCTCCCTGGACTGCCTTGTTAGTAACCACCTCAGGATTAAGGACCACAGTCCGGGGAGGAGCACCTACTGCTTGACAGTATACCTGGACCATCATGATGGGATGCGGGCATCCTTCTCTCTTAAAAGCTAGGAAATGGCCTGTTGGCTGGATGCCCTGATTCTTGTAAACCCAACTTGCCTTATCTTCATCGAGGACAAGAATGGCAAGCAGGTTTCCACTTCTAATTTTTCAGTTCTAGCTGACTGGCAGAGACCTCTTG